ATTTAAAAAGGATTTGAAAGGAGAACAATGACAAAGATAGAGCTTTTGCAAATGGGAAGGGGACCAAGATTTGGAGGAAGCAGAGAGAGAGGAGTTGGAGTAGGGATAAAAAACTAGAAGAATTAAGATGTGTTTTGTACAGGTATCAACTCCCCACAATAAATGTTACTGCAAATATGAACTAATGAAAAGGAGAAGGAGATTTCTATACTAATTTTATCATCTGGAGATGATTTCCAGACTAATTTTATCATTTACAAGCCCAGATTTGGAGCTAGAGCTTTCTATGGAACCTTGATCTGAGGAGTGAAGGAGGCCTTCGGGACAGGAGTGGATAGCATCAACAGTTCGTCTTTCTTTTTCTCTGGTATTTTGTTCAGTGTGACTAAGTGAAATGCTCTTTGTTCTGTGTTCCAGAGTCAGAGACATCTGTGCCACGCGGCACATAGATTTATAACTCTGGACAAAGGTTTCAACAGATACAGATTTTTTCAATCCAAAGTCCATGTGTGTGTGTGCTTTCAGAAATTAAAACAGTACATTTCTGTCTGTTTCTCTCTTACCCCAGGAATCTGGGGAACAGCAGCAGTCCTGAAGGACTTCTTACAGCTCTGGTGATAATGACTGGCTCCAACAGGCTGGTGCTGCCTTGGGGACATACGTGGGCTTTACTTACCATTGTCGTTTTTCAAACTGAGGATGTGTCTGCACTGAGATAGGCAGTCTAAGAAACAAAGAAACTATGTCTGTTATGATATTTCCTAAGTTGGTGTAAGTGGAAATATAATCTAAAGATTTCTTGTCCAGAAAATCCATTATAATGTTGCAATTCAAAGATCTACTTCAAAAAAGTTTGAGTTAAAAAAAAGCACAAGTGCTAGGATTAGGTCTAGAGATCTGGAATATGCAAAGAACATCATACAGTTTCTCATTTAATACCCAGCATCTAGGTACATGACCTGAGATATAAATCACAATCTTCAATGGCTCAGTTACCCTGCCCCCGACTCCTCCCATGCAGAGAGACAACAGCTAAGGTACATGAGTTCTTCCACACCCTGTGTGTGTCACCCAACAATTGGTTTCTTTTTTAGCATCTCACATAAACACGACTGGAATAACACAGAAGTCTTCCTGGAGTACCCAAAAAGGGGAACACGGTTCAGATGTCTGAAGTCTACTAAACAACACTACTTTGAACAAATTTCACTTAAAGCCATAATCTAAAGTTTAGATTAGTATCTAATCTAAATCTAATACTAAATTTTATTATTATTTATCATTATTTATTATTTAGTATTTAGAATCTAATTTTAGATTTAGTATCTAATGATACTAAAACCACTGTAGTGAGCAAGTATGTGTAAGAAATCCATTTTGAGTCCAGCCCCCAAACTAGTGAAACTCAGTACTACAACACAGCATGATTTTCCACAAGGTTTTGAGGCAGACTCCAGGCCTGCAGTTAACCTTTGAATTCCCTAATCTGGGAAGGTGCCAGTTGACCTAAGAAACACCTGAAAATGAAACGCTACCCACCAGAGATGGAAAAGTATGCCTTCTCACATTTTGATAAGAAATCCTTGAAAATGAAAGTGACACAAATGACAATTAGTCTCAGTTTTTTTTTTCTTGAGAAGTTTACTGTCTAGTAGGAAAGCAAACAAAAAGTAGCAATCTTTAAAATATAATTTTAGTGCTATCTAAGTGTATGTCAGGGAGCTCTTAGAACTCAATCCAGACAGAAGGTGAGAGTCAGAGAAGGCTACCACCCTATCTAGTTATAAGAAATTCAGAGCACAGTTGATACACTTTGTTTTTAATATGACATTTGCTTTCTACACACATCATACTCTTCCCAGAACCACTCTAAAAGACATTTCTCTTTTCATAAACACTGCATGTGGCTATTCACATCCATCATGAATGGAAGAAGGAGTAAGAAAGACTTAATGCTTGATGTCATTATTTTATTGTTTTCTAAAGTTGTACATACTTGTGGGGTACAGTGTGATAACCCAGTACCTGTGGACAATATATAATGATCAAATCATGGTAACATTTCAATTTTCTTAAACACTTATCATTTCTTTGTGTTGGGAAATGTCAAAGCTTTCCAAATTATAGTTTTTTAAATAAAATATATAAGAAATTGTTGTAATCTATAGTGTTGCTGTTTCTAAGTGATCTCAATACCTTTCTGCTGAATTAATACTCCTCCCTACATGTTTTTTTTAACAGTCCATTTCTTTCCTGTCTTCCAAACCATGCCTCTGTTCATCTTCATATAATTCTGTCATGAATCTCTTTCTAACCACCCAAACTATTTAAATTCTTGAGACATTATTTCCTCTGGAAGATAAAGGCATAATGGCTTTTAATACACATTTTTTTCTTTTTGGTTGACTTTACTTCACTGGACATCTACTGTTTTCCCCTCCCTGCCTCCTATACATTTCAGGGTCTCTTGAATAGTCAGTGCTCATGCAGTTTGAGCCTGACCATTATTTTCAGTGTGTGATCCCACTTTATAACTAAAACCTAGAAATGTATTGATTTCCTATAAAGTTATCTGGGTTGAGTGAGATTAAAGTGGGAGAATGGGCTCTATCTGGGACTTCATGGAGTAAGTGAATGTCATTTTCTAATGCTCTGACAAAGCTGTTTCTCTTTCATGGCTTAGGATGGTTTTATCCTAAGGGTCTGACCAGGGCCTGACCAGTCTGACTCATGACAAAATGCAGCTGGATATTGGAAAACTCTTTTCCTTCTATCATTTTTCATCGGCAGTGTTGATGTGTCTGTTATTTCTCTAGACAGCAGATGCTGAAAGGATTCAGGAATTACAAAGATAGACATCTTGATTTTCAGGCTGGGGTTATCCCAGGAGTGTCTTCCACGATCTACAACATCCTATACCCCCTAGAGAGGGTGATTTTGTTGAATAAGGGCCATTCTTAAAGATTTTAGTCCAAGTTTGGATAAAATATAGCATTATTTCATTTATCTTGGTAATGAGGGTGGTGGTAGGTAGTACAGAGACTATTTTGGAAGAATACTTACAAAAGCTACTTCCAGTTTAAGAATAAGTACTTTGCACCAACTGATATGATTGGGCAGATTTTCTTGTTGGATCTGTTAATGTGATGGATTATACTAACAGATTTTTCAAACACCTTTATTGAGATATAATTTACTTACTATAAAACTTATCTAATTAGGTATACAATTAAATGGTGTTTAGTATAATCACAGAATTGTGCAACTATTACCAGAATTTAATTTTACAATGCCTTTACCACTTCCAAATGGAACACTATATCAAGAAGCTCTGTATCACACTAAATCTGTTCATTCAGTCCAGCCATAGCGAGTCATAAATCTACTTTCTCTCTCTATAGAATTTCTTGCTTTGGACATGTCACGTAAATGGAATCATGTAATACGTGATGTTTTGTGACTGACTTTTTTGCTTAGTATGCCATTTTTAAGGTTGCCCTGTGTTCTAGCATTGTATCAGTAGTTTATTCTCGTTTATTGCCAAATAATTGCCCATTATATAGAGATATCCAAGCTTTGATGTATATTTGGATTATTCCCACTTTCTGCTTATTATTAATAATGCTACTCTTAACGTTGTGTACAAATGCTTGTGTGGACCTAAATTTTTGTTTCTCTTGGGTGGATGGCTAGCAGTGAAATTTCTGGGTCATATGGTAATTATTTATTTAACCAATTAAGAAATGAGAGTAAATAGACAAAAGTGAGAACTTTTTCAAGAAAATATTAAGGATTAGCTGTAAAAGGAGATCATGATTGGGAGTGAATGGGCAGTCTCCAGTTAGGCTGATTTAACTCTGATGCTCTGGATATCAAGGATGATAACAAAATATTTTCTAGACAACCCTTAGAAAACAAAAACTTTAGTCATAACATCATAGAATTTTTTTTGTGATTCAGACAGGAAAGTAGGTATGTATTCTTGTTGGTTAGTTCTATATGATGGGTCTCAAAAACACTTAGGAGGAATTCCACTGCCTACAGTCAGATCTGGATCTTTTAAAGCCATGCTGCCCAATATAATGATCACTAGTCACATGTAGTTTGTGAAATTAAATTAATTAAAATAAAATTTAAAATTTCATTCCTAGTCACATCAGGCATATTTAGATGGCTCAGTAGCCATATGCTGCTTGTGGCACCATCCCTTATTGCAGCAAGTTCAATTAGACAGCATTTTTTTGAACCCCAGAGCAGTAATTCTCAACTGGTGATGATTTCATCCCCAAGAGGCATCTGGAAACGTCTAGAGATATTTTGCTTTACAACACAAAGAAAGTAGGTGCGGCTGGTCCGGGATAGAGAGTTACCTCTGGTCGGGGATACAGAGGTTTACCAACGGTGTTGCTAAACATCCTACAGTGTATGGGACACTCTCTACAACTGGACATCTCAAAGTGCCAATATCGCCAAGCTCAAGAAACCCTGTTCTACAACAATAATGCTTAAACTTGATCAGCTTTTATCAAAAGACCAAAAAAAATCAGAGGGCAAGCTTTTAAAAATCCTTAACCCTCTGTCCCACCTTGAAGAGTCTCATTATGGAATATGATGTTTATAGGATCTGCATTGTTCCAAGAGGTTCCTATGATTGATTAGATTCAAGAATGTCTGTGTTAAAGCAGATTGATTCTCCACTCTCAATCCAGAAGAGAATCACCTGGTAAACATTAGCAGTACTCCCAGAGTAAGTTAATGACTCCAAGGCCATTACTTCTTCTGTTTAATTTCTCCAATTACCTATCTCTCAATTAATGGGGTCATTAAGCACTTACGATTGTGTTAATTTTTCCGTTTTTCAGTTCTTTCATTCTGCATAAATCTAGTTTGCAAATGATTATATCTTGTTAAATATTGTACACTTTTGTTTACAAACAGAACAAACAACCTAGAAAATGTTTGGCATGTGTCTTTGTTCCTTGTTCTTTAATAGGAAATAGCTGAGCAAACAGGAATGCTAACCCTGAAGGTAGCACCGCAAGGCATATTATAGTCCAATCACTTGCTACCAAATAACTTAAGACAGGTAAGTGGAATTCATTTTAAATGGTTGAAGCTGCATACTTCTTTAATATCAATGTAATTCTGCTGAACTTAAAAATGTTTCAATGAGTTAATTTTAGCTTTAATTTTTTCTTTTCACTTTAAGGAATAAACCTTGCTCTCGAGATTTAAAAGGTACTATGTGGTAGTAACAGAAATGAGGCATAAATACAAATAACTGAAAGAAAAGATTTTTAATGTTCTTACAGGAAATAACTATTTGAGAGGAAGAAATATTTTCTCATAGAGGCCTGGGAAATTTCCATTAGAAGTCAAAGCCTCTTTAGCTTTCTCTTCATTTATCTAATAAATACTAGCTGGCCCCTACTTTAGGCCAGGTTTTATTGTCAGCTTTCCCATTGCTGGGTCAAATACCTGACATCTGTAACTTATAGCATATGTTTACTTGGTTTGTAGTGTCACAGGGTTTAGTCCATGGCTGCTGGCTGGCTCCACGAAAGAAATATCATGGTGGAAGGATAGAGTGGAGGAAAGCTGTTAAGTTCATAGTGGCCAGGAAACAAAGCAGGGGAACAGTGCCAGAGAGGAAGGGGCCAAGGGCCAATTATAGACCCTAAACTCAAGCTTCCACGGTCCATCCAGACGCATGGAGAAGTGTGCTTTCCTAATGCTTGAGGTGACTCTCAAGTCAAGCAAGTTGACAAATTTAATCATTACTCAGGTCTACCATACTGGGGGCTGAGGCTAAGTAGATACATTCCCTGTATTCCCAGAATATAGCTTCCTGGAGGCTGGCCAGTCAGTTAACAACTATTTATTGTGTATCTTCTAAGTGTTAAGATATGGGAAGGACATTGTGCAATTAATTCCTGGCTGTGTTCTTAATCACATTGACTCTTCTAAACACAGACATTTCATTTGCAAAGACACGATCATAGGGCACTCAGTCAATCTTACCAATAATTTATCATGCTACAGAATTTAAGAGAAGGTATTCAATGACATGCTGCAATTGTCTAGTGGGCAATAGTCTTACCTCTAATCTCCTCCAGAAATCAGCAAAGAATTGTAATTGAGAATTTACTGACATAATTCTTAGTTTATTAATACGTGTGAGAAAACTTTCTGCTAAAACTCACATGGGTTGATTCTTATCTATAAAACTAGTAGCTATCTGAATTGTGGGATTATTCAGGAATATGATTACTATAGAGTATATTTTGTTGTGTGAAGTTTATATTAATTGGTGGCTTTAATTAACACATATTATTTTAAATTATGAAAAATTTAAACATATAAAAGTTCAGAAAATAGATGCCTACAGATAATTGTATATAACATTTGTTCAACATGCCTAAAATTGTTTGCTTTTCTGTCTTCAGTTCTCTTTGTCATTTTCAAATGAAATAGGATATTAAAGATATAGTTAAAGTCACCCTTTATAGCACCAAGTTCTGTTTCTCAGAGGAAATTAGCATCTTGAACCTGGTAAACTGACACTCCAATTCTCCCCCACAACTCCAGTTTCCCACAGAACTTCTGTGATCTGATTTCAACAGCCCTTAAACTTCTACAGTTCTATCATTAGTTCTGGGATAAAGAGCAAACTCCAGAAGAGTTCATGTTTGACACTCAGTAATCTGGTGTTCGGTACTTTTCAGCCATATCACTGAGTTGTTCAATTAATCTTTATGCACAACTGACCTGATTTTAGTTCTTTATTTATTTCATGTTATTTCTTTCTTCCCTGCTTTGGGACATTTCTCTATGTCCTCTATCTCAGTGTGGCCAATTATTCTTCATCCTTAACTTAATGTCATTGCCTCTAGAAAGCCATCTCCATGCCTTGCCTCTAATAGAATTTTTTTTTTTTTTTTTTTTTTTAAAAAAATTTTTTTTTTTTTTTTTTTTTTTTTTTTTTTTTTTTTTTTTTTTTTTTTTTTTTTCTCCGGTACCAGGAACCAAACTCACGACCTTGCGCTTGCCAGGCAGGCGCTTTTGCCGCTGAGCTAAATCCCCAGCCCCAAGTCTGTTTGAATATCTGTATTTTTCACTAGGCAGAACTTCTCCAACTGCTGTTCATTTTATATTCCCCTAGAACCCTGTATGTTTTTGGGCACCCATATAATTTGCTAAAGGTATAAATGAACCAAGTTGGAAGGCAGATTTTGAGAATTCTGAAGGGTCTGAGATTTCACCATTCTACAAGCTTACCAAGTTATCTTGCCATTATGTTAGGGATCCTGCCAGAAACCATGAGGCTTCTGGAATCAATGTTGAAAACTCCTGTTCTCACCAAACCCGGTAACTGGACTGTCAGCAGGGCTGCACTGGTCCCTGGAACTCTAGTCCTGTGGGTGGCACAGGTGGTGAGCACACGCATGCTGTACACATATGAATTTCCTAGAGGGAGATGGACACTGCTCCTGGGTAGCATGCTTCCTTACAGCAATCTCAGTCTGGGAGGAAAGGTTATTTTAAGTACACATAAGGTGTACTTAGTGTCTTGCATTCTTGGCATGGCCAGCAAAACATCTAGGAGCTTGAGAGCCCCATGCAGTGGTGTTTCACAGCAGTAGAGAAAGCAGGGAGTTGCAGACATGATATTTTTCACTGCTGGAACAAGCGAACAATAACAAGCTGAGAAGAACTTTAACATTTTAATTAGCTCAGGTCATTTTACAGGTGCTAAGAGTCCCTTCCTTGGGCTCTGCTCTACCATGGTAGAAATTCATAATGAAGGCAAGTATCTAGTAAAGGGTGTAATATTTAAGAAGGCAGGAAATGGCAAGAAGCAAAACGTTCTACAGAAATTCTAACTAAAAAATCTGACTAAAGATTTGCTTCTTAAATGACTTAGAAAATTAGAAAGTTAAGTAAAATGCAAATATTCAATACTTGTCAATGGTAGATAAAAATGTTTAGAATCATTTGACATTTACAATAAGGTTCTTTTTCCAAAGATGATAAGCATTTATATTACTAAAAACTTTATTTTCATACACTTGTCAGATACTTAGGTCTATCTCTTTGGCTATTTATTGTTATACTTCAGAGAAGTTTTACATTTTATCCAATTTACTTTGACATATTTAGAAGGTGTTGGAAATACCATTTAAGGTACCTGCTGTTCTGTTTCATTATCAGTAATGGGACCCATAGGCCTTGTGTACTACATCTTTCTTGTCTTCTTAAGTGTTTTAACTTTTACAGGATATTTCAAGGTCTTCCTTGTAAGTTTCTGGATCCCTTTATTGCATAGATCACATATTAATGACTGTTTTGTACTTAAAAGTAATCTTTAACAAGACAACATGTATTATCACAACATTGTACCAACAACATGTATTATCACAGTTGAATTTCCAACTATTAAAAAATTTTTTCACAAAGACCACAAGGGCTTTCAAGTGAGATTTTAGGTCCTGATTTAAAATAATTTTTAAATATCTTTAATTTCATTTTGTTTTATTTCTTCTCTGTTTCCTCACAGCTCTCTAAATCATATAACTCATGGGATATTAACTACTTTTTAATTGCTACACACAAATTCACCAGTTTTATAAGTCCTGATCTATGAATTAAGTTAACTTACTTTGTTACCAATTTTTGATCCCAAACTAGGTTCTTTCTCCCTCTCAGAATTGTGGAATCAACAACATGACCAAGTGCTGACTGAGGAGTAAAGAAAGTTCTATTCTCGGCTAAGCATAGAAGTGGGATAGAAACTAGTGAATCCACTTCTCAAGCCAACCTATTAGAGACTGGAAGTTTATAGATGAAAGCAGCAAGGAGAGGAGTAGGCTGATGAAGAGAATGGTAGAAAGTGAGCTTTGTCATCTCTGCAGTATAAGGTGAAGATGCGATAACAACCCTCTATACATTTTCAGCAGGAAATTTCCTGTCCATGTTTGGGACTACTGTTCTATGGAGATGAACACTTTTGTTGGGGAGGAATGTGCCTGGATGATATTTATAAATGCTTCTTAAAAATCAAACAAGATATGTGAAGAAGTCTCCCTTTGCAAGACAAACTACATGAGAAGGACCCTTCAGTCAGAAGTGAGGAGGACAAAAAGAGCAGAAAGAGATGGGCTTAACATAAAGGCCAGCAAAAAAGAATGTTCCAGGAAGAGGATTTGGGTATCTGTGGGTTTGAATGCAGAAGCTAAGCAACTGCAAGTGATGGCTGGGGGAAGGTAATCGAGACATCCAGAGACAAAGAAACCAGGGGCCCTGGTGAGGCCCACATAGGGTAGACTTTTCCGGGGGAATGTGCTAGAAAATGACAGGTGGGGAAGGCAGAGCGGCAGAGTTGGAGTTGCAGGGAATGAGGGTGGGTCTGGCTGCAGACTGGTGTGTGTGTGTGTGTGTGTGTGTGTGTGTGTGTGTGTGTGTGTGTGTGTGTGCATGCTGGTGAATGGGCAGCACCTGTGTGGGAAGGAACAGGGGCTGGAGCTGTGAGAAAAAGGAAGAAGCCTGGGCCCTGGGGAGAGGACAAGTCTGGGCTCCAGGAGGAGCACAGGGAGAAGAAGAATCTGAGTGTTTATGGGTAGCCTGAGCCTCTGGCTGTCTCGGAGGGAGGACAAACTGAGGGAAGATGGTGATTGGAGGGGGCAGGAAAGAGGTTAGAAAAATGGAAACAAATGCCTCCCTTCCATGCAGCACAGAAAATTGTCCTGTGTGTCACATCTGGTGATATGAATACTATGTTTTGGAAAAACACTTCAATAATTTAATTTTAAACAGCCACACAAAAGTTCTTTATGTGATCCTTTTTGTGGGACCTTTACAGGTTTCTACTTTATGTTACTGTAAACGTGGTAACTGAAGCTGAATCTGGCTATAAACAATGTGAATACTTCAGAGAGACACTCTCCAAGTTGCCCCAGTTAACACTGGATCACAGTGTATGATGGTAACTGCTTCCCCGCATCTGCATTAACACTAGGTATTGTTTGAAAGAAAAATGGTGAAGCTTAACTGTGTCACTGATGGAAAAGACGTCTAAAGGACGGGTTG